TTTCTCCTTTCCGGTGAAAGGAGGATGACCGAGTAAATACGAACGAGAAGAAACAAGAAAACAAAAAAAAAATGAGGAAGATGAAGAAAAGAAAGAGAAAGGAGATACGTTTGTTCTTATTGAAGTGAGATATTTAAACTATAGAACAATAATATTAGATAGATTACAGCTATATATTAGACAATTGTCCAGTGTGTATAAGAACAAAACAGATTATACATTTGTCCTACACGTCAATTCGATAGAATGGAAAACAGGTCCCCCTTTTCCTCACCTCCATTTTACTCATAAAACATATATACCATTATATTTATGCAAATAATAATATTGTAAAGTTGAAATGTAGAAATATACATATATGTTTCATCTAACCCAAGATTTACAAGCGCTTTCGCTCCGCTCATGGAATTCTTAATGCTCACGCGTGACACTTCCGCACGAACGAATCTTTCTCTTTCTCTCTTTCTCTTTTCCTTCTTTTTTTATTCTTTAACCCCCTCCCCCTCCTCAGCCCTCTTCCACGATTTCGACGTGCTCCGATAAAGCAAAAGGAAAAAGGGAAGAAAATGAAATATCGATAGAAAGGTGGGCAGCTGGTGGAGAATGAAGTGTAGACAAAAATTAACCAATTAAATGAAATCAATCGATTTCAGAACTTTCTACCTTCCCGCTTCCTAATTAAAAATTGAAAATTCTGTATTTAATTATATTCTGACGATTCTTTTGCTTAATCTTAAAAAAAAGAAGAAGAAAAAAAAAATAGTATCAACAGGTGTGACTGATGCATTCGTTAGATCCACTTAATCTTTTTAAGAAGAAATCTGTTGGTCATTTAAAATAATATCCTGAATGATTAACGTTTCAAATAGATCAGAAAAATATTCAAATAATTATTTTTACAATTTGTATCAAGGTTTTAAACAAAACAACAAAATTAGATAAGTTTTTTTTTTTATGAAAATATGTCAAATGACATCAATGAAATGATGCATCTTTGATTTGGTCCATCCTGGTTAGTAACAAAAAAATATCAAACAAACAGAATAGAAATGAAAAAGAGAGAAAGAGAGAAAGAGAGAAAGAGAGAAAGAGAAAGATATAAAAAAGGGAAAGAACACAAAGTACGTACTAATCCCTTAAGAGCTTCGCGTAGGAAAGAAAAAAGGAAAAAAAAGGTATCCCGTGGGAATGAAGGGAACTCTCTTGTTCGGGTAAGGCAAGCAAGAGGATTCATTGAAATACTAAAGAACTCGGGACAGAAAAACAGCATCCAAGTTAAATTCTTGAAGAGAGAACGGAGACCTCGTGTCTCTGTTGAGAGATCGGCTTTTCAACACAACCCCGATGTTCGATCAAAATTTAGTTCTTTTTAACCCCTTTTACCATAGCACCTATCCAAACCCTACAAGACAACACGCCACGTACCACCTCGTACTTTCTAATAAAAGAAAGATAAACAAAAATAAAAAGGAAAAGTCTTTTATAGGTTATGCGGGAGAAAAAGAAATAAAAAAAGAAACAACAACCCTACAGTTAACTCTACAGTTAACTCGGTTAATTTAATCATTTCTTAAATCCCTTTTCGTCGAGTGGATACGAATGATAAAATTAGCGTGCTTGCTTGCAAAAGTTCGTCGAAAAGGATTTAAGTGGAAATTACTGTGTGACTTGATGGGGAGATTTTCTTTTTTTATTCTTTTTTACGGTCCCCTATAAATTTAAGAAAGCGCTTGCTCAGGACTCTAAGGATTTATCTACGACATCTTAAGTAACAACGTAACCTCATTTTTATTATAGGTGAAAATGAAATCCGATAAACTTCACCTACGTTGTTATTATTATTCTAAAATCACAAAAGAGACACGCGTTGCTTTGTTAACACCGTGAAAACGAAATGAAACGTACAAATATTTCATAATTCAAAGATGGACATTTTGATAGACGTTTAATGGACGTTCAACAAGTTGATTTGATAGAAAGAAAGGAAGAAAGATATAAGGGACGATTGAAGGGCAAGGGTAAGGGATGAGGGGGTGAGAAAAACCAAGAAGAAATCCGATTCTATTTGCTCTTCAACGCCGACAAGATTCTCACGGCCGACTTATTCGTTCTCGTTTTCTTGCTTTCTGCAAACTCGCGTTTCAGGGAAAAGAGAGGTAGTTATATCTTCATCATATCTTCGAAATGACAGCAAGTCGGGCCACCTGAGTTGTTGAGGAGAATGGAAAGATAGAAAAGTCGTTAGGCACGTCGAGGCGTGTCGTCGTGCGACGAACCGATAAATAGACCGAGAATAGACCGAGAATAGACCGAGAATAGGTCTTTCTCTCTTTTCAAATATTTCTCTTTGTTTTCTCGATGAATATTTCAACGTCTATGATAAATCCTTCGGGGAAGTAGCATTGTACATTAACGTGTTTACTGTCAACCTAGTTGTACAAACTATAATAATATCTCATAATTAACAAAGAAAGCTAAGCAAAATCAATGCCAATAAAAAATTATTAAAAATAGACAAAAGAAGTAATATTAACCCTTTCGCCACTACGGGCGACTATAGTCGCTCTCCATAAAATGCCGCCGCGCATTGTACATTGTATAATACATATGACGAACGATTAGAGTTACTTCAAATCGAGTTTAATAAAAAGTTGTTAAATGTTTAAATATTATAAATATTTTAATTTGTGGAGTTTTTTTTTTTTCAATAAACACCGTCAAACCAACTCGGGTTGCTGTGAAGCATAAACGCGGCCGCTGTCGATTTTACTCGAGCACCGTGTACATTTTTGGCACGGCGGCACGTTCAGCGGAGATACCACGACGGAGAAGTCGCCCGTAGCGAAAGAATCAATGATTGTTAACAAACAAACAAAATCACGAAAAAATCTAAGATTCGTCTTACCGTATAAAAATAAAAGCCAACGTTGAAATATCGAAAGAATCAAAGAGTGGTCAAGGTGGAGCAATAAATGTATCAACTTCCTTTACATTTTTTTCTTCTCCAAAAGTAAAAGAAAATTCAAAAAAGGAGTAAATCAAAAGAGAATAGGTGCTCGAAAGGATCTCTTTCTAAAGTAAACCAAGAACAATCGGAAATTTCTTTTCCTTTAACCTCGGGTTAAGGGTCAACGAGAGAAAACTCTTTTTCTTTTATTTCCATCAGGAGAGAGAGAGAGAGAGAGAGAGAGAGAGAGAGAGAGAGAAAAACAAAAGTATAGAATGAGAGGGATAAGAGTAATCGTACGAACGAATCGATTCTCTCATACGACGAAGAAAGGTTGCTCTCTGCCTTTGTTCGTGCTCTCGCTTGCTTGCTCGCCTGCTTGCTTATTTCTTTTCCTTCTTTTCCTTCTTTTCCTTCTTTTTTTTTTCTTTATACCTTCGAGCAGGCAGAACAGAAAGTTAAAGGTTACCGATGCGTTCGTTCCTAGTCCCAAGGTGTATATATATGTACAAAGTAACATGTTCTTATGCACGGACACGCGCATCAGGATTATGCAAGAGGAATGCATCATATAGCCTCGTGCCAATCGTGTACACGTTCTCTTCTCTTAAAGCAACAACACCAATACCACTATTAGCTAGCTAGGCTTGCTTTCAACTGCGGATATCTTGCTATATATTATGTACGCTTGGTGACGCGTAATTACGATTAACGAATGACTCTCATGTTCGAATCAGAGACATCAGACTATTTTTTTTCTTCCTTTCAATCTCTCTCTCTCTCTCTCTCTCTCTCTGTCTCTCTATCAAGAATTCAGATATAAATTGGGTTGTTCGGAAAGTAATTTCGTGTCCTTCTCTACTCCCCTTGCATTAAATAAATTTTAGAAATTTTCATTAAGATCGGTTCAATAATTTGGAAATTCATTGGAAACCAACAATGTGACACTGAATTTTTGTCTATAAAGAGATGGAATAAACAAAATATTAGACAGTTTTTGTTTTAAAATCATAGTTGGACAGCACACACTCATGCAAATGTATATAGTCACTTTCCACTAGCACACTTATATTCAGTAGGTCGTCGAACAAGCACAATTTTCATTTGTCGCATCGATTATCACGCATTCGTTTGCTTTCCAATTTCACGCTACGTCTACGTCGATACTTACGCTTTTATGCGAAAACATCGAATCTGCGCCATTTTCGAAAAACACACACACAACTATGAACCTACATATACCAACAGTTCGCGATTTTCAAAACCGCAATTCTCTTGACTATTCTCTTCTCGTTATCGATACTTTATTCGAGATATAATATATCGAAGTCAACAATATGGATGAAAAGCATTAATGAATTATAAGAAAAAATTGATTTAAAATAATTACGAAGAACATGCACTCTCGCGCACACACATACATCAATTCTGAATGGTGGATCAAGGAATCGTTATTGTAGTCGATCCATAAATGTTATAAAAAAACCAAAAAAAAAAAAAAAGAAAATAATAAAGAGAGCACTTTCACGGAATTTTGAACAACGCTGATGGGAATAGGAATTTTTTATGTTTCCAAATGCATCGGGGCTCTGTAAGCTCAGCAAGGTTTACACGAGCTGCTACTATGAATATTCAAGAGTTTTTCTCGGCTTTAAAACAAAAAAAGAAAAAGAAAAAGAAAGAAAGAAAGAAAAAAAAAACCATAATATTTCCTTTCCGCGCTGTTCTTTCTTTTTTTTTTTTATTCACTTAATATTCATCTTTCAACTTATCGATAATCGTACGAGAATATTCTCGATAAATCACCTTTTTTTTCTTTGTCTCATTTGAACGCAAAATTGATAAAATTGATGTAAAAAAGAAAAAAGAAAAAATTCCACAGAGATGAAATGACGAGTCAACCTTGAAATAAAGCAAATACAATTTTATCATTTATACCTTGTTTCTTATCCATTCCTTGTGTGTGATTCGAGATAAGATTCGTGTTCTTAAAAAATGTAAAAACATGCAAAATAAATGAGAAATCATTGATGTCATTGTCATAAAAACTTACCGTTAGTAGTTTTCCGTTTGTCGCGTAAAGATGGCCTCTGTTCATTCTCCATCATTGTAATCACCATAATATTTATTGAAACGTTTCTCTTCCTGTTTAGGAACGAAATGTAATAGCGATGCGTTTACATGGCGTTAATAAAACGTTAATTACACCTCTCTTTGAAAATTGGTTAATTTTGTACACTCGTTTGTTAGTAAGAAGAATATCACATCCTTGACATCATCATCATCACCTATACGCGAACGTATTGCTCGAACAATGATGGTTCTCTTCTTATCACCGTTACTTGACAATTCCACCAGGTACGCAGAAATCTGAAAAATGTCAAACAATGCAAAAAGAACGCGTTAGCAAAATCACAACGTGCTTTCTAAGAAAAAAAAAAAGATTATTCAAATTAAAAAATAAAACACACGAATTATTTCACGAAAATAATTTTTGTATATTTTGATGAATATATTATATACTATTTATAATTACTATAAACAAGGCTACATTTCAATGAACAAAATGATCTATAATAATAACTATCATTGTTTTATTTAAAAGGCATAATAAAACATTATATTTGTTCAGGAATATATTGTGTACACTCTAATTAGTAGTTTGGAACATCGTAGAAAATGCTTGAAAAGAGGGGAAAAGCTTTTCACTGGATTTATATTCGTCGAACGAAACAACGTATTTATATGCATCCATAAGGTATATTAATTGTAAGCTTATTAACGATAAATCGACAGCTTCATATAATTGAAGTATAATTTATATGAGAATTGAGATATTTTCCTATCTAAACGACGTCAGATAATAGTTCGATGTATGTCAATTCTAACACTATCAAAAAAAAAATAAAAATTAATTAATTTGTTCTTCGATGTTAACAGCTATAAACAAAACATCTTATTAATTTCGTAATGAAAGTTTTGACGAAAGAAATATACTCGTATATATAATATATGTTTTTTTTTTTTAGATTAGTTTGTATTCATTAAAAATCAGTTAAATAATAATCTTTTGAAATAAATTTAGATGAAATTAAAATGATAAAATGCAATTTTAATGAATTAGTTAACCGGTTGCTTAACTAAAAGCTGTTTCAAGATATATCTTGAAAGGTTAACGCTTCGTGAATGGAAGAAAGTGCTTTCAAGTTTGAATTAAAAAGAGTCAATGGAATCTCGGACGATGCACTTTAGCCTATATACCTACTAAATATTATGAACATGTACAATTTTATATGTATATAAGACCGGTATACAACACAACGTATAAAATAATTCTATTACTAATTAGAATTCTCCGACACGAAACACACTGGATTGAAACAAAATGCACGAAAGCAAAAAAATAAAAAAAATAAAAAATAAAGAAAGAAAAAAACCATCTCATTTGATTAGATTCGAAGAGCATCGAAGAACGCACATGCGTTTGATTATTCGAAAGAGTAATTGCAATGTGTAATTAAATCGTTAGTTCAACGTTTTATAGAATCTCGGCACGTGTTACTTCTTCCTCCTCCTCCACTTTTTCATCCCATTCCCTCGTTTCCGCTAACCCATTCGCCGTTGGCTTCGCAACCGGAAGAATATCTCCGATTTCTGCTAAAATTTCTGTTAATTACACGCACGTATATATGTGGATTCGCGTAATTAAAATGGAAATTCACAAGCCGATATCTTTCGGTTGCATTACGCAAACAAGAATTATCGAGTGATTTAATTATTGTCCAACTTTACAAGTATCACGTTGAAATTGTCGAATAGTATATAGCGTGTACGAGTACCTATGTATCATTGTAAATATACGTTTTGCTGACACCCGGTAAAATAGTATTAATAATTTATTCCTTCATGTGTTATATTTCATTTTATGTAGAAAATATTCTATTTATAATATATTATCATTTGTTTATAATTGTATATTAGAAAAATAATGAATATTATCTTAATATGAAAAATACGAAATTAAGTTAAAAAATAAGTTTTCTAAAAAAGCTGTAAGACGTTAAATCTGGGTTTATTCCTAAACCGATATGAATTTCGAATTGAAAGACCGGTTTACTATCGTCGAATGTTCCAAAACTATTAACATTTAGCATTAGTAAAAGCTAACGATGACGTAGACGTAAAATGTAGAAGGTAAAACGTCAAGAAGGAGGGGATATTGAATTTTGATGTAAAGTAAAACGTGTAGAGAAAGGTGAAAAGACTAGCTAGCTGCTACCTTCTTCCGACAGGTTGTAATTAGCAGTTCACAATGGTCGACAGGGTGTTAAACGTCGTCGGTCACACGTTTTAACTTTCATGGAATTTATTTCACATACTCAAAGATTTGTTAACTAACAACCTTGAAAATATCTCCTTCATTTTAAACCTATCTATCCAAATTTGTCTTCTATTCGTTCGTATACTACTACCGATCCGAAAATATTATTTATTATTATTATTATTACAAAGTTCAATTGTGTAAAATTAAAAGATTAATTATTCGACCGTGTCGTGATTCGCGCGTTCAATGTTTAAATGATAAATAAAATAATGAATAAATAATAATAAAATATTATTTATATTTATAATTGTAAAGTAAAGTTTTAAATGAGAAAAATTGGATAACATTGAATTTAGGATTTAACATTTTTTTTTTTTTTAAATTAGTTTTCTCGCACGTTTTATGCTTCACCGAACGTGTTAAATAATAAATAAAATAATTTTATAAATAATAATAATTATAATAATCGTAAAACCAAATGAAATTGTAAAATAATAAAATTATTATGAATAGTGTACTAACTAGTTTAGTGTTAAAATAATAGCATGATTTTAATCAATAAATAAAATCGATAACAATTGAAAGAAACAAGACGTGATTTCTTTTTGAACGATAAAAACAATTATTATATCGTTTATCTAAACTTATTATCGACGATTAATCTAGCAGCGATAAAATCAACAATTTACTCGTATTTGTTATAGAGAGAAAACGATGTAACTAAACGTTATACCTAATTAAATATTTCCACGTGGTAATATTTACCATCGAATAATTGCCAAATAACATATATCTGACCAAACAATGATGACTTTGTACGATATTAATTATTCTACACAGTAGAATTATTTAACATCATTTGGAAATACTTCGTTTCTATAATATTATAAAATTTATTAGTTTATGAAGAATTTTGATAAGTATGTCTGTATATAAGAAAAATGTCAAAGATAAATCTAAAGAAAAGAAAAAAGTCGATGAAAAGTTAGATCAATCGATCAATCTTATTACTTTGGAAGAACGTGAGCGTCGTTACAGTGATAATTTGACTTTCATTAACTCGAAAACAGTATCAAGCAATCTTCTTGCTGAATATCGACGACATTCAAATTCGTTCGGTTGCTAATAACACTTGGAACTGTCGATTTCGCGCTTTGATACGAACAGTCGCGTATGTATTTGTTCCAAAGCTATCCATCCTCTTTCCTCTACCCCCAAATCCCACCCCACACTCTATCACTCCATCTCTTTCTATTTCTATCTCCATCTATCTATCTATCTATCTATCTATCTTTTTCTTTCTATCTTTTATCGAATTTCTCGTTCCATGCTTTTTCGGTGATATCTCTTTTAGAAATGGTCCTAGAGCCAAGAAAGTTTACTCGATGTCAACGTAGGTGTGTAGAAAGAAAGAGAAAGAGAAATATCAGAAGAAGAATAGTAATAGTAGTAGTAGAAGTAGTAGTAGTAGTAGTAGTAGTAAAGAAGGAAAAACAAACCGAAGAATTTGCCGCGAGCAGAAGGAATGGAAGAAAGGGATCTACCTTCTCGAGTAGAATCGAGTAGAGAGTTGAATTTAGAAGAAAGAAAGAAAGAAAGAAAGAAAGAAAGAGCTTTTTTCTTGCGATTCCTCGATCTCCGAAAGAGAGAGAGAGAGAGAGAAATTCTTGTTGCTTTTACGTAAGCATAGAATAACTTCTTCATTTTGATCGTAAGAGTAATGTATTTTTCTTTTTAAGCTTTTCTAATGCTTACCACACGAACTCTTAACGATGAATCAACTAAATCAGCCAGTGTCATTAACGAGTGACAGAATGAAATGATTTTATTCTTTATTACATTCATGGAATTTTATTTAATCGACCTTAACTTTTATAACTAACGTGTAAAATCATTTAATTATGTCTACCAATTAACCTTTGTCTTTTTACTCATCTCTCTCTCTTTTCTTCTTTATTTCTATCTATCTGTTACTCTCTGACGTAATGTTGTAACTAATTGATCAATAATTCTTTTTTTTTTTCTTCTTTTCTTTTCCCATTTTTAAATAATCAATAATATCCATATTTCTCTTTCTCTTATATAATATATTTAACAAGGAAAACTCAAATTGACTATTTGAAATGATAATTTCATGAAAATATACAGGGTGATTCAGCAACTCTTGTCATTTAACCCTTTCGCACCGGCTGGGACATATGCTGTCCCAGTCGGGAAAATTTGTCAATCAATTCAAAACTCAATTGTGAAATCACTGTTGTTGATGGTGCACTGTTATGGAGACGTTTATGCGTCTCCAAATCCTTCAATCTTTTAGGCATACAAGTTTTTTTCTCTAACAATCACTTGGAGGAGAAATGAACTGATCTTTGTAATGGGACGCACTCGAACTGACTTTTCGCCGTATTGAAAGGGTTAAATAGCACCGAAAATATGATGGTAGCAGAAAAGTGAATAAAAAAAAAGTTGCAGTGAATCACCCTGTATAACTCATATACTTTTGATATAATTTTCGAATAAATAAAAAGATGTCTCTTATTGCCTTGTCGCATACTACTATTACTAATTAAATACCGGGCGTCACTTTGAATACGACTGAGTGAGAGTGCAATATTACAAAGAGTTAAATAACTACGAGCAATATTCTCAAACTGTGCAAATACGATAATGGGAGGGTAAGAGAAAAGGGTAGTTAGTAGTAGTAGAAAGAAGCTGAGAAAATAAAAAAAGAAAATTACAATTAAAATTCGTTTGTGGAAGAGGAAGAGGTTGAGGAAGAGG